AAAAAAAAAAAAAAAAAAATAAAAGCTTAAGAATTTTCTAAAGGTACAGGCCAAAGCTTTTTATTCACAGACTTTAAGGATTTTGCCATTTTTATTTATAGCTCTCCCCTTCACCAGATGACACAATTTACTTTTACCATTTTAGCCTTGATACTTCTCTGTATGCCTAACATCTCACCCTTTTACCAATGGGGACTGGGGGAGTGCTGACAATTTTTGTCTAGGTGTAGACTAGTTAAAAAACTAGAGAAGACTTTTCACCAATCATAAAATTGCTCACCTGTTATGAACAATCTCTGAAAACAGAGACTAATGGTCTGTTCCAAGACTCCACTACGTGCTCAGGTAGAAGCTCCACTGAAGACGGAAAAAAACATACCATATTGGCAAAATGGCTTGTATGCATTAAGATTAAAAACCCCAAACAACAAACAAAGAAAACCCATTTTTTCAGATTCTCTCAAAAAAGCAGACTGCTTGAACTCATCCAGAGTTTCTCAGGGTTTAATGAACATATATGCCCCTCTTTCCCACTTCAGAAATCACTCTGAATTGATTCTTGGTGCAAGATGCAGGACCCGTTGCTCAAGAATTTTATTTTTTTGGAGGGGGTTGAGAGTGAGCCAATGACTGCTGAGACTTTCCAGTTACAACTCAAACACTTAATACTAAGATATACTACAGCAAAGGCTTATTAATAAGGACAAGGCTTACAAATCCAGGATTTCAAAAGCAAGGCAGGTCCACTGGACAAGTTTTACTGCTCCCTCAGAGACTTCTGCTAATCTGGTTCTTCTCTCACTGAGCTTGGAGAAACGTCCAAATTCATATGGTTTGGCCACCTATTATATATCCAACACGGGGTTCCCCATATTTGGCACCATACTAATAATTTTCCTATATTATAAAGCTGTGCCCTAGCATTGTCTACAGCACATGCCCAACTTTCTTATTACATAAGCAGTATATAAGCATTACCTATAGTGCATACTCAGTAATGGTCTCCACTTCTTAGGACAAAACTCAGGTCATATCAGAGAATGGCCTATTTTGTACAAGTGTCCTACAGGTCAACTTTTTCACAAGTGGAAGACTTAAATAAGGCTCCTAAAATGAATATTTAGTCCCCTATTTCTGAAGCACTTGAGCTACCAGAAATTCCTATCGAGAGAAATAAAAGCTGACAGTAGCTCAGCATTGTTAAAAAAATGAGGCTACTGATTAAGCAGCTAAATATAAACTTAGAAGCCTAACTTAGGAGCCTAAAAACAACTTAATAAATTAAAGTGTGCAAGTAAACAAGAAGAGTAAACAAGAAATAGGACTGGTGCGCCTTAAAGGGAAAAGAAACATTTGCATGCAAACATATGCACACTTCTATATTACTGTGCATCTCAGCACGTTGTGTGAAAATATCTGCCATAAATTGCCAAAGGTGGACAAGGTGGAGTTCTCTCACATGCAAGAAAAACATCAAGGAGATAATAGAAGTTTGGGTACTTACAGCATACAAAATAGATTTATTAAGAATTGACGGCACATTCTTGGTTAGATGTTGAATGCAACTAAAAATACCTGCAAATACCCACATAAGGGAATGGAGGCCACTTTTTCCAAGTCTTCTGGGTTTTAGTAAATCTAAAATAAGTTATTTGACTTGAATTGAATTAGTTATGTGACTTTACACTACCAAGCTGTACAAGTGAAGAATGCATTTAGAAACCTACTTACACAGATTTCACATGGAAATTTGCAGTGTTGCTATCAAAGGAATGAAAGCTGAGTGGAGTTTAAGGGCTTTATTTCGCTCCAATAAACAACCTAGTGTCCTTTTCACATCATGCTTTTGGAGAAGCATACACATCTAAAAAAATGTGTTGGAAGAATAATTGATTTAAGATGGAATTCTTTAAGCACCCAGAGTTGAGCATGTATTCATAGTACCTTCTCCGTGAGTATAGATTGGTCAGCCACAAGAAGTTGAAGCCTGAGATCTTAAAAGCAATAGTCTAGAAAAAAAACATTACCTTCCCCAAATCGCATCTGAGATCATTAATACTGAATAGATTTTATCAGACTTCAGGAAAACCCAATTTATTTTTATATTACTGACCCACCCCAAAGAACAAATGCACCCTCCAACCCTGAAAGGTATCTTAAATAGGATTTAACACACATTTTAAAACCTGGTGCCAAAAATGAATTCAAGAATCTAAATCGAGTACTTCAGAAAAAACCAGATATTTAAACGGCTAAGAGTCAACAAGTCCTACTAAAGTTATACAAGTATATTGTTTTTATATAAAAACAGCCATACTCAATGTGTTTATATGGGTTTAGTGCTTATTTGAGGTACTAGAATCAAACTGCTAAATTCATTACATCCTTTTGCATTTGTACTTCTGCAAGCAATGCCACATGACAGCTTTGGGGGGGGGGGGGGGGGCGCAGGGCTGCAAGGGTTTCAAGGTATTCCACTACAAGTCAGTACTCTTCTGGAAAAAGAGGCTGAAGGGACAGTAACTTTTTTCAGGAGACTAATATTTCTCTGGAGTCTTCCATTCTAGATCATAGTGGATCTGTTCTAGTTACTGTGCCACCATTTTGAGAGTAAGGCTACTTGGCTTTGGTTATTTGAATTACATTTTATTCTTCTTTTCTGAAATTGATGCAAGGAATATCTGTAGGAGGTGGCCCACTGCTATGTATGAAGTGATTCCTTTCCTGTTTTCTCTACTCCCCCTGAAGCCTTTCCCATGTTATTTAAAATTATTTTAGCCAGAAAGAGGTCCTAGATCAGGCTTACCTCTTGACATATCCAAGGGCTCTAAAGGTTAAAATTTAAGTGAATGTTCATACGTTTTCTTGGAGCGCGCAGGTGTCTCGAGCACAGAGACCACATGCAGCTATTGTGTTTCTACCTCTGCTTTCTTGGTAGAAAAGACCAGTGTACAGATGTTTGTTCAGTTCTCCCCAGAGGAAAAATGACTTCTGGTAGGAAGGTCTTCCAAGGTGACGCCTGGAAAGATCTCCCCTGCAAGAGTTTCTCTTACTAGAATGAATGCCTGTATGCTGGCCTCCTGCTTGAAGCAGTTGAACAGCAGCTTACCCTGTGCCTTCTGGCAGGACTCTAGTCTGAGTAAAGTGGAAGACACATTTTCCTGCAGCTTGACTCCTCCCGGTCATGGAGAAGTTGAGGTGCTTGCACCTTGAGCTTTCCTGAAAGTGGGGAATTAGTTTGGGGAAAGACTCAGAGCAGTGGCACCCTGGAAGCTAGGAAGGAAGGAGAGGAGCAGCCAGGCAATGCTCCCAACCTGTCCCCCCAAACTAGGGCACCCAGGTCTGGGAATCTGTGGGAAGCCTTTTCCCACTGCTCCACATGGAGACTGCTCCCATCATCGCAGCCCCTAATCCCCTCAACTCCCCCAACCCGGCTTCACCCCAGCCTGGGGAAGGCATGGGAAGCAGGAAAAGGAAGCGGCTGCAGAACAGAATACCTGTATGCTCCTTTTCCTAGAAAGATCTGTAGTGCTGGAATTCTCACAGAAATGAATGCCTGTTCATAACTAGAGTCTCTTTGTGTAGGTGCCCCAAGGCAAAGGGTTTGGCAACAACTGAAATATAAACAGGAGGCATTTGAAAACCCAGACCTACACTGGAGACTGTTTTTAGTTTGCCATCAGCCCAGAAGGACCAGGGTTATCTACTTTCTAGAGGCTATAAGAGAGTTCATAAATTTAGCTCTGGAGTAGAGCTGGGCAGAAGACTTTTACCATACCATACCATACCATAAAAAATTTCAAAAATCTCAGTTTTTAAACGTTTCCTTTCCCATACAGGGACAATACAGGCCTTCTGAAAGTTTTCCTTAGACAGAAGAGAGCAAAAGCCCCACTCTCAGAATAGTGCAGTGGCCATTTACAGGAGACCAAGATTCGAATCTTCATGTAGAATTTCAGATAATAGTAAAATTGGTGAAAGGACTGCCCACATTTCACCCTCGTCATCCACAAAACGTTTATTTTTTTTTTCAGATTCAAAACATGTTTTCCCATTAAATAATGATCTGAATATCAAGGTATCTAAAATGAAGCATGTCAAACCAATAAAAATACTTCCATGAAAACAAGAGTTTGAGCAAGCATAAACCACCAAAAGACATTTTATTGCAATAATGTCCCCCATCATGAGTAGTAAATGCCAAAAGATTTATTTTTTCTATTTTGCATTTCTACCTTTTTATTTATGTAAATATAAATTTAAGAGTGTAAAATAAATCCACATATAAACACAAAAGAAACATTCTTTCAGTGACTCAAAAAAATTACATACTGAATAATCATGACAAATCATCCATTGTCCATTTTCCAAGTATACAATAAAAGTGTGGAAAAAAGCAGAAAGTCATTCGTCAAAAGCATCTTATATAAAGTTCTTAAAGAAAATAGTTAGTAACATTTAACTTTTGAACTTATAGATGCAGATTCTGAGAAAGGGAAAAGATAACATGTAACATCTCAAACTGCAGATACTAAAATTTCAATTCCATCTAAAAAAAATATTTAAGAAAATTACAGTCAGTTTCCCATAGCTGAACCATCACAATTACTCCATTAGTATCACTGTATTGGAAAACAAACTATTTCTTACCAAGCTCTCTTACTGTGAAAATAAGGTCAAAATACCCCTTTTCCAATAGCAATTCTACTTATTCATATTGTAAATATACTGTGGGGAAAAAACTCCACATGCTGGTACAACAGGCCTCCCACAAAGTTGCTTTTTCAACATGACTAAGACATACTTTTTAAAAAAGGCAATGATAGCATGAAATGCACTGTCAAAAAATTGGTGATCAAAATGTAACGGGACAATATTATCAGGTCTAATAAAATACCTATCGTTTAAAAGTGAATATTGGAAAACATTACTGTTAGGTCACGTTATAGTGGCTAGTTATAAATGTCCATCTATGAAAATATTAACTGCAGTGGTACTATCCTGAATGATTTTTCTATTATTATTCAATATTGAATTGATGTAATAAATAATATTACCACAACTGTAAGTATATGTCATTGGAATTTTCTCAAGAGGAATGTTTTCCATTGGTTCTAACAGACAGAAGTTTCCAATAACAACGGCTTTTACTGCATATCATGCTAAGTTCTTAAACTGCATTTTCCCTTATGGTTATGCTACAAAAGAAACTTGAAATATTAAGTGGGTGAAAACAAACAAAGCACTCCATCAACCCAAGATGAAAACTGCAAGTAACTTTACCAGAAAGGGAAGGAGAAAAGGGAAGGGAAGTATTTAGACGAGCACGCTCTGGGTCCCAAAGTTTACACTGCTACTCAATTTCCAAAAGATACATATGATTCTGTGAATATTTTTTGTGCTAAAAAGTAGCTGTGTTCAAAAACAAATATAGGCTAGCACAAACCTGCATTTTCAGAGATAAATATTTAGATGAAGTACAAAATCCACTTACTAAAGTGCATCTGCTGAACAAATTCTAAATCTACTATTACGACTATCCAAGTAAGCAATACAAGCTAAACTTTATTCATATTCTACCTCTAGTAGTAAAGTAGTAAATATAGATAATTGAAATCTAAATTACAATCTTTTTTATTACCAAATATTGTGTATCTATGCTGTGAGCTTTAGAAAAACTAAATATGTTTTTAAAACTCTTGGAAACGAGAAAATGTTTCTTTAAGTACTGAAAATGTAGTATGAAGTTAAACAAACGGGTTGTAGTAAGGATAGTACAGAGTTATACTCCACATGACATTCCCTTAAGGCTCTGGAAGAAGATATCATTTTTTTTCAAGAGCTTTTGGCAAAAAGATATAAATGCAAAAGTAGAAAGGGCATCTGTAATTTTAGAACTTGCATTTTCCCCATTTTATTAAAGCCAGCTCATTCAATGTCTGTATACAGTTATTATTGCACTTGTGTATTCCTTGGAATACATCTATACCAACACAGTAATAGTGATTGCAACAAAGCCATGACAAAAATAAACTTTTAACAGTTTATTTTTAAAGGTTTCAATATTAAATGAGAAATGTCTGCATGTTTAAAATGTTCCCGAAGAATGAATGCAGACACAACTACTAATCAAGTCAGATGCATTTGTTTAACAATTATTTAGCACATATAAAATTTCACTTACCCTTTTATCAATACAAATCTGTTAGGGATCAAAAAAGATTTACCATGCAAAATACTGATTAGTGCTGCATAATGCTTTGGAATATATATTTCTATCAGAGTTAAAACAGCATTTTTCAAAATTTAAAGAAAAATAGATTTTTAAAAAGGGATTCTACTGTTGAATGTAAGACAAGAAGTTACAATTTATCACTGTACTTCTGCCTTGATGAAAGACTAATGATATTTGTCCATCTATGTTTTAATAAATGCTACATCTTTAAGAATAAACTATCAGTAGGCATCATCATTTCTATGTAAAAGGAGTTATTTCTCCCTATAGTAGGTCAAGTATGCTTTTAAAGATTCAGGTAATGGTAAACTCATAATTTTCTCTCGCAGCAGATTTCGAGGCGGTTCCTCTGGCTTCAAGGCCTCATTGTGATCTTTATCGTCATCATCTTTGTTATCTTCTTCCATCTTTTCATCTTCTTCACTGTCTAGAGGCTGAGGAATGAGTTGATTGCCTACAAACACGTAGGTATTAATCCTCCGCCTACGGCATCTTCTGCGTTTTCGTTTTGGTGGTGCCTTCTGAATAATACCTTTAGCTTTCATCTCCTCATTTATGAAGTTTCTAAGGGTACGCCTAATGTAGATCCGAGCTAGGTCCTGAAGATTCCTTACAGCACAAGCGGCTAAAACAAAAGAAAACAAGTTACACCTCCTATCTCAGCAAAACTGACATTTTACATGGCAATTAGGAATATGGGGTTGATAATTAAGATAATTAACACAGAACAACAAATGACAATTTAATACAAAATCAAGTATGCAAATAAAATAAACAGATACAGTTGATAGCTCCTGACAAACCACACAGCAGATAAATAAGAAAATGTTTTGTCCTATTTAACATCCATGCTGAAGGTAGCTCAAAGTATTAATAAGTAATACAGGCAACCCCCGCTCAGTGCTCTTAATTGGTTCTTGAAAAATCGAGTGCTATGCAAAACAAGCATTAAGCAAAACCAAAAGTATTTGACGACCCAAGATGGCAGCCGCAATTGTTTTCAACAACACAAGATGGTGACCACAAGCATTATAATGAAATTCGCTGAGCACCAAGTCAAATCAGGTATCAATTTAAAATAAGCATTATAGCAAAATAGTGCTAAGCCAAACAGCATTAAGTAAGGGTTGCCTGTAATATTAATGTTAACGATTCTACTGCTACTGCCACCACCAACTTAATTTATAATAATTTAACAACTAATTAACCGATGGGGAAAAAGGCACGAAAGCAAAGAGAAGTGGTTCAGCTACCATGATCTTCATGTAATGTGCCATGTTTACATTCCTTTCTGAAGGCAGAGACTGACTTCAAGTAAAAACTAGTCATTATATTGGAAGAAAGACTTCAAAGACAGAGAAGGAAGAATGTCTACATAGGAATTCCCATATATGAGTTATTACAGAAACAGACTGCTGAAAAAATGGTGCAAGAGAAGCTGAAAAACAAGAAAAGACAAACAATAGAACGTGACCTCCATAAATCTAGAGAGAACTAGAGTTCAGGAGACACAAGCAACCACTTCCAGGATCTCTGCATGGGAACTACTGGTGAGAAAATTTAAGAGGAAACAACTAATGAAAGGGATCAGAGAAACAGTCAGCCCAGAGCAAAAGGTAGGGGTCGCACACCCCTTAAGATGGAGAGTCATGTTCATTACACCAAAAAGGAGGAAGAGGAGGCAGAGACCAATACATCATGGACACAAATAGGCAGGCTTATAAGGTGGTGTCAACAAGATGGCTTTGGATCCTTCAAAAATTGATGTTCCAAGAAAGAAGGCTTTAAATAAGATCTATGGAGGCTGGCAAAGAAAGCTACACTGTGGCTAGTGGGTTGAAGACTAGAAGAGGATAAATCCTTAAGACTAGGAAACCACAAAAGACAATAAAAGCAAGAGGAAATCTAGGTGGCAGGCTGCAAATTAATATAAATACCCATTTCTTAAGTCTACAGAACAGATAGATAGATCTCCATTCCCTGCATCCATCTATCTATTTATCTAGATGAAGGAATATTGGGAACAAACCAAACGAACTGGAGGTCATAGTAAGTTAAGACATGACTGGCATCATAAACTTTATGAAATAACTCTCATGACTTGGCTCAGCAGTGAGCAGTATGCCTTGCTTTGGAAGAATAAGTCAGAGAAAGAAAGAAGGCAGTAATACCATCCGTCAGAAATAAGCTTACTCTCAGATCCAAGATGAAGGAAGCTAATCTATTGCATACAAGTGGGTGAATGTGGACAGGAAAAAATAATAGTGAGATTGGGGTGGGGACAGGGTTTTAAATTAGACAACTAAATGAAGAACAAAAAGTGTATGAGGCATTGTTCAAGCAAGTAACAAAAATTCCTAAATTTAAGAGACAGAACTGACAGGGTAAGGCGGGAGGATTTCAATTTCCTCAATATCTGTTGGAAGAAAACTGTAGCAAAAAGCCATAAAGCATCCAAATTCTTATATTATAAAGGATAAATGTTTATTTCAGAAAATTCAGGATGCAAGTAAGGGTTATCTGTTTTGAATCTTGTTCTGACCAATAAAGAAGAACTGGCTATTGGAACCTCATTAGGAAGTAATCACAATATGACAAAATTCATGATTCTAAGCAAAAGGCAGCATGGAAATATCAAACAAGGACAGAGGACTTCAAAAGGGCAGACTTCAACTGATAAAAAGAAATAGGTAAGGTCCCAGGAACAGCCACATTAAAGGATAAAAGAACCCAGAGGAGATAACAGTTCACAAAAAGCATAGCATTAACTGCTCAACAATGAGCTGCTCCAACACAGTGGAAAGATGAGAACAAGCACAGGACACTTCCATAGGCCTGTAAGTTGATTCCTGTCAAACAAAAACAAGAACAAAAACATCAAAAATTGTTTATCAGTATGCCAGACAGAACAGAGTGCAGCGAAATGGTGGGTCCACTGCTCAGTGGGAAAGGCAAGCTATTAATAAGAGATGCAGAGAAGACAGAGCTCCTCAATGACTATTTTCCCCCTCAATCTTCATCAAAAGAAGAAAAACAACACCAGATAATAAAACTAACATAAACAGGGCAGAGAAAGGGCTATAAATCATGTTAAATAAAGAGCAGAGACATTTTGACACATTTAAAATAAGTTGGCATGACCTGACCAAATTCATTCCAGACTTCTGAAATGAACCACCTCAAGAAATCTTGGAGCCAGAGGCCACATCATGAACAACAGACAAGGTTCCAGATAACTAGAGAAAAGTTGGAAAACACCCATCCTTAAAAAGGGTGAAAGGAAGACCTGAGGAATTAGAGACTAGACACCCTGACATCAATATAACTTACTTATAAAACAATCCATAAACATTTGGAGAAGGAAGGGATAGTCACTAGCAGCCCACAAAGATTATTAACAATTAATACCAAAACATTGTACAGATGTAAGAACTGCAATTTACTGAGTCAGGCCATAGGTCCATCCTGCCCAGTATCCCGTGTCAAATAGTGTCCAACAGTGGATGCTGAAGGTGAGAGTGAACAGGGTATGACCAGGGTTTTCTCTCCCCACTGCTCCTCTCTCATTTTCAGCCTCCAGCATTTACAAGTTTAAGCAGCTCCAATTTGGAGACTTTATCCCTAAGGGCCTTGTGGCACCTTACAATGAGTGCTGCACAAAAGTTGATCAGTGTTAGTGCTAACTCAAGTTTGGAGCAGTCAAGATCAGGCCACCAGTGGCCTGAAAGACTGAAAGGTAAGATTTCCCACTTCCCATTCTGAGCCTCCCCCCTGCCTCCACCTGCCCCCAGGGCATTACTTACTTTTGGATAACCTGCTGTCTGTCCCTGGGGAGCAGGCAGGGAAGGGTTAACCTTGCTGCTGCTCTTCTGGCCCACAGAGCAGCAGCCCCAGCATCCAGGCAGGCAGGGTAATCCTTCCCTGCTGGCTCCCCTTGGACAGAGTGCTGGCAGCCACAAGTAAGCTGGTGGGGAGGGAGGCAGTAAACAGGGAATATGAGGTACTCGTGAGCATGTGGGGATGTACTGGGGTGTTTATATTAGGGTGTTGAGAGCTCCAGGAGCTGCCCAAAATTACCACGTACCAAGGCCCTAACTCCCTTGCTACTGATGCCCCTTTCCTCCAAGCATTTATCCAATCCCTTTTTGAATCTTGCTAAAACTGTCAGCTTCCATATCTGGTGGCAGTGGAGCTGCATATTTAAATTACATACTGAGTGAAAAAACTTCCTGTTGTTAGTTTTAAACTTACTACTAAATAGTTTAATTTTGTGACCCCTGTATTTTGTGAGAGTAAACAATAAATACCTATTTACTTTCTCTTTGCTCTTTCATATTTTGTAAGCCCTTACGTCCCTCCTCAACCATCTCTTTTCTAAATTGAACAGGCCTAGTCTCTTCAGCGTCTCCTCATAGGGAAGCCCCCTTCATACCACTGTTGCCCTTTTCTGGACCTTCTCTAGTTCATCTATATCCTTTTGGAGGTATGGGGACCAGAACTAGGCTTGGTATTCAAGGTGTGGATGCACCATTCTAATATTATAAAAGCCTTAGTCTGTCTGTCTGTCCATAACACTTTATTTGCACTCTGATAGGCTGACTGAAACAACCAACCAGAGTGCTCCAAGAGCGGGACAGGGAATGAAGTGAGGAGGGGGGCCAGGCCAGCACAGTGGAGAAGCGGGGGTGGGGCCAGATGCAGGGGGATGCGCAGCCCTGACAAAAACCGGCAAGGAGGGGGAGGGAGGCAGGACAGTGCCCTTGCCGCCGCTGCACCCTGCCAACAGCTGGGAGGGTGGGGAATGGGGAGGGAAGGAAGGTTATGTGGGCCAGGGGTGCCCAGAGCACAAGGTTGAGGGAGGAAAAGGGCCTGGACTTGGGGATCGGGGAGCAGGGCCAGAACTAGAGTGCAGGGCGGGGTGGGGCCAGACATGGGCCTCTGTCCCCACCTCCCCAGTCATTCTTGACAGGCAATTGGCTAGTAGATTTCTAAAAGGTGAATAGTTCCCATTTTGTTAACAATTCCCTTCTTAATAATCCCCCCCCCCCCCCCCCCCCCCCT